TGAGCACCTCAGTCCAAAGCAGGCGGGGAGGGAGGTGGTGAGAATGACGGTCATCATCTGCGTAACTGCCTATGCGCAGCTCGGCTCCTCACCGCAAACTGCCCGAGGCATCAGGAAGGACGCGCCTCAGTCAGCCTGCGTTTCTGCTCTCAGGTCCAGCTGCCCAGCTGCCCAGCTGCCCGCCGACATTCCCATGCCTCCGGGCCGCACGGTGTCCCTGGAACGTAGTCCCAGTTGCAGTGCGGTCAGAGGGGAGAGTGACCAAACCTTCCAGAGTGACCAAATCTTACTAAACTATAAAACGCAGTGTTTCTTTCAGGTTTGGAAATCAGGAGAACATTCCCATCGTTAACTGCCGTGGAATCACTCCATTAATAGGCAGCTGACCCACCAAATTTTACTTGCATGTAACACTTTTCCATTATAATTCTCTTTAGGACTCGATACTTAGCTAAGAATGAAAATGTTCTTTTACCTTGTGATACAAATTAGCTGTGATAGTACTTTTTCCCAAATTAAGATGTTCACCCACAGAGTTATAATAATTCAAACTCTCAACAGTTTCAAGAAAATTTAAATGTTCTTATTAGATATATACTATTAGAAAAGTGCTTCTTTTCCCCATCTTCTCCTAAATATTTTTTCTCCTTTTTACAGGTCGTATATACTAGCATCACCAGCAAAAATGCCATTATATCATTCACCAATATTTCTTTTCTCTACCTGCCCAATATCAGTTTGAGGTCTAATAAAGTCAGAGTGAACAAAGCGAAAAACTGTAATTTTCTATTCGTTCTACCAGCCTTCTCTAGAAATCTCCCCAAACCCGTTTCGGTTCTGCCTTCACAGCACACTCCTTGGCTCACCAGCAGGAACCCACGGAAACCCGCCCCCTGCACCCTGTGCCCAAACGCCCCACCTCGGAGCTCCCAGGCCTGCCCGCCCTCAGCCCGGTAAACAAAACCTTGTGCCGCGGCCAACCTGCGGCATCGATCTGCTGGCGGCCCTCTTGCACAAGCCGGGTCCTTCCTCCCCTCCCGGGGCAGCCCTGTCCCAGGCTCTGGTGCCGTGTCTCAGGCCACGACCAGCAGGCACAGGGTTTCAGCGTGCAGATAAATCCCGAGCCAGCCGTATGCCGTCTAGTTCAAGCCTGATTTCCCCCTTACCAAGGAGGGAGGCAATTTCAGAAGTTACCAGTGCAATGGTTTCAGGCTACTCTTGCAGACTTTCTAAACGAAACCTTTAAGAGAGCAGCTAAATACCACATACACACAATCGGGGCCAAGCGCAGAAACGCCTGTGGACCAGGCACTTGATAAAAAAATAAAGAGCTGAGGGCCTGGGGCTTCTGCGGCAGTGTCTGCAAATGCAGAGGAGTGAACCCCAGAAACTCACCAACCCCAGCCTTCCCGGGAACCGTCTCAGTCTCGGGGGTTCGCTGCAAGGCCGCTGCATCGCAAGGGAAGCAGAGAACAGGACGAGACGGACCCCCGAGCTGACTCAATGCACTTGCACACAGCTCTGCGGCCCTGGCTCCTCCCCTGACGCCGCACCTCTAAGGAAGCAAGGTCTGGGGACTGGGTGCAGTCAAGGCGAACGTCTCCGCCGCGACTTTCATTCCTTGGCCTTGCCCATTGGCAAGAGGAAAATCCCAGCTCTGCCTTAGTCTGCCATCTGACCTCTCCTGAACACACCTGCCATCAGGGCCACAGGGGAAGAAAACAGCCCAAAGAGCACTTTCCCGCCCCTCCACCGTCCTGACCTCGGTCAGGGGCTGCCTGTCCGTGGAGACCCACAGTGCTACCCACGTACGGTTCTCATTGTCCCCCCAGAAGAAGGGACTCGCTGCAGTGTCTGCACTTAGCCTCCCTGTGGCACAGCCTGGTTTACAGGCGGCTGAACATGGAACAGGCACATTGCTGGTCTGGTCACTCAGGTTTGCAATCCGCTCTCCAAAGAGTAGCCTACAAATGTCACTTCCAGACTTAAAAAGATATACTTATGCCAGAACTCAAGGTTAAAACTGTGACTCACTATGAAGACATTAACTTTCCAATGGATAATACTTAGAAACACCCTTCTCATTTAGAGTGGACTGAACAGAAGAGCTGGTCACAGCTGAAATGCAGCAACGCTTTTCGAAGCAAAACTTCGGAAAACAGACGAGGGAGCGTCCGACGTTTTTCATCGCCACTTGGCCTGGACACACCGTGCTCGCCGACTCCTCTTTCGGTCGGCTGGGGACGGAGACCGGGCTCCTGTCCGAGCGCCCAACCCCGTCCTCGCTTAAACGCCCAGAACCGTGACTGCGACCGCAGGGGCACGGGCGAAGCAGGCTGTGCAAGGTCCCTGCCGACCGGGCCACTGCGGGTGCAGGAGTCACTGAAGAAGAGATTTAAAGTCAGCAGCAAGGCCGGCCTCCCCCTGGCCCAGGGGGTGCGAACCGTGACCGCCGCGGTCTGCGGGGTTACTCATTAACCGCCCCTCCGCAGCCCAGAGGCCCCCGCAGATGGAAGCACCAGAGGCCCCCCTGAGGGGCGACAGCAAAAGGGGCGCTGTCCCAGGCCTCGCTCGCCCTCCCAGACCCCGAAGAAGGCTGCACCGCCCCTGCCTTCCTTCCGAACCGCTTCCTTGCCTCCTCCACTCCAGAAGCGTGCCGCCCCCTCCCGAGCACACAAGCTCTGCCCACTGTTCCTTGTGCCCTGGGAGGACAAGGTCCACGTCCTTCCATTTTCCCCAACTTTTGGTCCACGTTTCCCAAGAGCAACATCCGACCCGCAGGGCCTGCAGTGCAGGTCAGCCCAGTAGCAGCTCCAGACCCTGGGAGGGGCAGGGTGGGACTGAGACCCCCGTGTCCCCCTGCAGTGGGAAGGCGTGGGACTTCGCTGCTCTTGCCAGAGAAACCACAGCGCCCAGTGGCAGTGGGACACAGCGGACACGTTTCCTCGTGGGTGGGGATCGCGAGCATCTCTGTGGGACTCGCTATCAGACGGGAACCCCCAGAGAGTCAGAGACGCCCTCCAGCTGGCCCAGAACCCTGGCTCTGTGCAGCCCGAACGTGCTCTGCGAGGCTGAGGAAGTGAACTGCGGACGAGGCGCGTTCGGGGCCCTCCGACCTGCTCCGTGCTTTCCCCCCGGGGGGTGCTGACTCAGACGACCTCTAAGCAGTGTCCCACCGCAGGGCCTCCTGACCTGGGGCCCACGGGCGAGGGGCTTTCTTACGGAGGCGGGAGAGACGCGCGCACACACAGATGGGCTGGCGAACTCTCGAGTGCACACCTGTCCTGCTCACGTGTGGGTTTGGGAGATCAACTCTGCTGTCAGCGGCCCAGAGTCATGACCAGAAGTGTCATGCCCTTCCTCCGCAGAGCGAGATCAAGTGTCACAGCACTTTGAGAACTGACGTGGCACCTGCTTCGGGGGTCACTCAATCCACACTGTGAAAAAGGGAGACACGGGGGCCGAGGAAACAGAGGTGCCTTCACACAGCACCCTCCCCCCAAACCAGGAGCCCTTTCCCACCCCGAGGGGGGCAGCTGGCTCTCCCCGATCACCAGGGAGGACCCCAGACAGACACTCTCATGGGACAGCACAGCCTTGGGTCACGTGCGCAGCCCATGTCACAGGCCAGCAAAGGTGGCCTGCGTCACCCTTCAGAAAGGAAGTTCTGTCATTATGTGTCACAGGAAGTGAAGTCCGTAAAACTAAGAAAATGAGTCTCCAGACATCCTCCACTCAGAAAGTATAGCCTTGACGTTCAGAAGCTAATTTTTCAAACAGAAGTTCTTCAGTTGAACAAGAACCTGAGAACTTGGGGGCTAAGGACTGTGTGACATCAGGAAGCCACACCGCTCGGCCACAGTGTGACAGGTGGCAGGGGACCGCCCGATGGCAGACACAGGCGGACAGAGCGCTGCACTCACCCAACTGGTGCCACACGGCGACTGCGTCTGAGGGCACCCCCGACGCTCAGTCACTCCACGCACTGCTGTCCGACCCCGCGAGGGCGCGGCCTCCTCACCTGAGCTCTCGGTGCCACGCAGGCACCGAAGCAGTGTCCCACCGCGCACCTGAACCCCGAGGGACCGGGCCGCAGCCATAGACACCGCCCGCACAGGAAACAGGGGCAGGCACGGGGAGCGATTCACACGAGGTCCACCCTGGGCAGCGGCAGATGCACGGGGCGCAGAGGAGCCAGAGCCAGACGTCTGTGGGGCGTCGGGGTGACGGTGCAGGGCACTCGTGGTCAGGAAGGTGACCTGATGCGGGGACAGCCTCGGCAAAGGACAAACGAACTTACCTTTCCTTCCTCCACACGTGGGCCCAGGAGCAGGCAGCCTCTCCAGAGAAGTCCGTCTGTGATTGGCGTTGATATCTGGCCACTGTCCCACGGCATCTTGGACTTCTCACCCCTAACTCCACGCTGGTAGCCGCTGCGCCTCAGAGCACAGTCTCGTGACCTCACGCAGCCGTGACCTCACGCAGCCGTGCGGGACTCCCCTGCACCCTAACCGCAGGCACGCTGCCTGAGTCGCTGACGCCTACTCTGCATCTGCAAGTGTCTGCCTGGCCCAGCCCTGCCCTCCTGACACCTGCGCTGCCGCGACTTCACAGCCCCTCGCTGGGCCCTGCTTCTGTGCAGCCGCCCTCCTCCGCCCTCCTCCTTCGTGACAACCTCCCTGCGGCAAAGGGTGTTGTGCCTGGAACTGAGACGCTGGAATGTGATTTAAAATGAAACATCCACAGGCTTCTCTCTGGAGAGACATACGGTGCGGCCAACCCCACTTCGGGACGTGTCTAACCCCAGTAAGACGTGTCCTGACCTACATGTTAAATGTCTCTTCTTCCACACAGGCACCCCAAACACAGTCAACCGGTTTTCAAACACACCTGGGGACGTGAAGCACGTCAGTGTAAGAAAAGCACAGAAACACCAGTCCCCGCACGGCCGGGTGCACCAGACGTGAATATTTAATGAAGTGTCGTTCGCAGAGAACCTGAAAGGTGTGGCTGGGGACGAAGTGACACCGCCTTTGTCCGGTTTTGTGGTTAACAGGTCTTTTATTGGTAGTAAACTAGGGCAAACAATCAGAGTAATACATATGCAGTTCTCAGTACACACAGGAAAAGTTATTAAAGAAATTCAAAACCTGCGGGGAACTAAACGCCGGAGGGAAACCACACACCTTAAGGTCCAGCGGTGAGGTGCTGCCCGCCCTTCGTGGCGGCCTGCGCTCTGTCCCCAACAGAGCCGAACCGCACTTACCAAAACGAGAAACAGACTTTCGGAACCGAGTGTACTTAGGAGGATTAATTAAACACATTTTCTAAGCATCTTGCAGTGACAAGTAGGTGACTCTTGGCTGGGAAAGCACACTTAGGGAGGAAGGAAGGGGGGTAACTAGTTTTCTGAAACCACTGCAATAATTTCTTGTCTTCCAAACACTGCTTCGTAACAGAAGTGTCGCACGCTCGCACAACGTCCCTCCTCCGTGCAGGAGCCCGCGCCAGGCCGGTCACACAACGGGACGGCAAACACACAGTGGCACTCTCCCGGCGTCGGAGGAGCACAAGGGACCGCGACGTCACCAAAGTACATAAAAGCTCATTGGCATCAACACCAAAGTACATTAAAAATACACTCGGGAAAAAATACAATGGCTAAAAAGTGGTTCAGGCAGAGCCACTGCCGCCCATGGATTCCGATGGCAATTCGGGTGGGAAGCGGGCTCTGATGCCCTTCCGAGACCCCGGCCAAGGCCACTGACGCCCTTCAGAGGAGGTCACAGGCCGCAGCTCCAGAGCGCTTCTGATGTCACTGCCAAAGGCAGGCACCCCCTCCCGTCAGCTGCGTCACAGTGGGCGTCACAGCTGATTAGTTAGTACCTGCAGCTCCAAGGAAGTGCAGCTGTTATTATACACAAAATCTGTGTATGTTTGTTATTTGTTTTAAAGTGGGGGTTCTGGGTGTTTATCTTACTATGTAGTATTTGGATGCCATAGGCATATGAAATGCATAATGAATTACCTACTGGAATGTAACTCATTCTAAAATTTAAACTGTCAAGACAGGAAGAGAAAACAAGGCCCAGACCTCTCAGAAAGAGGGCAGGTTAAGAACAGAAACAAGAAAACAAAAACCCCAGAAGTGTGGGTGACCTATAGTAACGTAAACAAGAGGACAGTGTCTGCAGGGTATATATAGTTAACAACACCCCCCCCCCCAAAACTCAAAGAACCATGTGACCCCAACTCGGCTGCTAACACTGGAGCCCACCACCGGGGCTGACGCCGCGCTCCGCCTCAGCCGACCCGGGGGGGCACTGCAGCCTCGCTGCCGTGGGGACGAGGAGAGGGCGCTCTTTCTCTTCTCCTTCTATTAAAGCTATCGTTCCAGGCTGTGACCAAAGGTCCGAGAGTGTTTGTTCTACCAGGCTGGAATGAACGTGGTTTGGAAGTTCAGAGGACATTTAAAAGCTGCAAGAGAACATAGGTAGCCAACTTCTCAGAATTTTGGACCAGCCCAGATGGAGACAGCAATCTGAAATGTTTCCGATCCCTTACTTACATGGTGACACGCACACCATACTATCTGTAAATTGGACATTCCGTTACAGTGATAACGTACAGAATTCCCATGCGTTATTACACTTTCCTGAGAGTAAAGCAATTAGAATAACCTTAATCCTAGCAACAAAGTTTTTTTGTGTTTTTTCCTTTTGTTTTTTTGTAGGATTTTTTTGTTTTTTATTTTTTTTATTTTTTTGCATTTAAAACTTTTGGGCTATTCCCTGACCACCTATACATGTAAATTTGATTGCTAAACATTGTCACTTTGAATGTCAAACTATTTTTAATCTATCGATTTTGATTAAAAATCATAATAGAAACAGCTAAAATCACACTAACAAAATAAACTAAATGTGAAAAGTTGCATTGAAAGGGCATTACATTATTCTCATAGGATCGTGTACAAACATTCCAATGGCAGTGTTCTCGAAACAAAACAGAACGACACCAGAAGGCCTCCAGCCGGGCCCTGGGGCCCTTACCTGTAACTCTGGCTGGTGGGCGTCTTGACTCTCGCACCACATGGCTCACTGACATCAGACATCACGTTTGTGTACCCTGAGAAATCGGACACTGAAGTCCTGCCTCTATGGTCCACTTCCCCATTAGAGTTGCTGACGAAGGTCATTGGCACCCTGCTGCCCGACTTGAACTGAGAGCCGAACGCCTGTGCGAAGTTCTCGATCTGGTACGTCGTCCTGGGCTCCACGTCCTTCTGAGGGTCCATCTGGCTCGCTAACTCCTGAGACGGGATCTGAAAGCTGGTTGAGGACTCCAAGTTCTTCTGCTGCTCCTTCTGGCCGGTCAGTTTCTGAGACGAGGGCTGGAAGGCCGGCGAAGTCTCCAGGCTCTTCTGAGAATCGATCAGGTCATCCAGCTCCTGAGAAGGTGTCAACTGCTGGTGGGCAGCGTCCAGAGCAGACAGGTACAGACCTGGCTGAGAGCCGAACAGCATCCCAAAAGGAGGCTTTGGCAACGAAGATGGCAACACTGAGGTAACAGATTGGCCAAAACCACACTCCAAAGGAGACGTAGTGTATATCTGTTTTTCTGGGAATAAAGTGTGGTTGTGGAGAGGTGAGGACAAACTGACAAACTGGAAACCATGTCCAAGAGTAAAACCTGCATTCGTGGACTTCTCGAAAGCCTGCTGGAGGTATTTGGAGTATTCTTGCAACATGCTTGCCTTGTCGCTGGAAGGGGTCTGTGTGCCTGGGCTCAAGTTCTCTTCTGGAACCAGCTCTGAGTGTTCTCCTGAGGTGTGTAAATCCACGCGTGGTTCGCTTATGTTGAAAGGATCCTCCTTCTGGCCCTCCGACTTGCTGGAGTACTGATCCAGAATGCTCTGCAACACCTCGTCGGGAATGCCAGACTTGTCGTGACAGGACTTGATCTCAGCGTTGAGCGCCGAGGAGTCAATGAGCGACAGGGGGGCCTCACTGTCCAGGACACTGGCCCCCGCAGCCTGGATGACAGACTGCTGGGAGACCATGTGTCCCACGTTGATCGAGAAGGCACTGTTGCTGGTGGCAGTTGGCAAGTATCTTCGTTTCTTTGAAAACTGCATGGCATCGTCGTAATTGCTGTTCATCTGGCCTGGTTTGCCGCCCGCACCCTGGAGAAGGCTGATGGTCTCCACGCCGGCACTGGATGCCATGCCGAGAGGGCCGCTGGGCTTCCCAGACAAGGACTTCTGTCCAACGATGTCTGGCAATGGCGAGACAAAGTTCAGGTAGTTTTTGTCTGTGTTCTTCCTGCTTCCTTTCTTAAAGATGAGTTTTGGCACCCTTTTCTGAAGCTCATCAATACCGCTGCCCAAGATGCTGCCGCTGGAAGACATGGCAGGCATCTCCACGGAGTACGTCTGCATGCTCACGCTGTTTGCAAGCTGCGAGTCGCCTGCTTTGCCAGCCTTGTGTTCCTTGCTCTCAGCAGCTCCGCTCTTGGACTTCGTCTTCCTCCTTGAGGAGCTGCTGTTTCCCTGAGACAGCACAGCCAGGGTTCCCACATTGCTATGGTTTGAGGAGCCAGGGTCTGCACTGGGGGCTCCCTTAGCTATGGCTTCCCCACACGTGCGCCTGTGTTTCAGCAGTCTATCAGTCCTGGAAAAATACTGCTGGCAGGTGTCACACTTATATGGCTTTTCTCCACTGTGCGTCCTCTTGTGTCTCTCCATGTGGTACTTCTGGATGAACTTCATGCTGCACTGGTCACAGCCGAACGGCTTCTCCCGGCTGTGGATCTTCTCGTGGCGCTGCAGGAGGTACTTCTGGATGAAGCCCATGCTGCACTGGCCACACTGGAAGGGCCTCTCCCCGGTGTGAATGAGGACATGTCTGCGCAGGTGGTAGGAGCTCCGGAAGGCCGCGCTGCAGTGGTCGCAGATATGAGGTTTCTGGCTTGGGGACAGGACCGCGCCTTCTCCGTCTCCCACCAAAGACGGCTTGGAGGATGCGCTGGGCTTCCTCTTGGCTTTGATTCCCTGAGATTCTGGCTTTGGCCTCTTTGCCTTCTTGACGTTCGTGTCGTGCTTTGGCTCCTCGCCGCCACCGCCGAGCAGGGCATCGCGGTGCTGTGGAGCCTGCGGCTGCTGGTGCAGGACACTGAGGTCCTGGATGACGCCGGGGCCGCCCCCCTCGCCGCCGCCACCCAGGCCCGGGGCCCGGTCCTCGGCGCCCGCGAACAGCCCCCCATAGTGGTGGTGCTGCTCGTCTGGATCGGCCGGCTTCTCCTGCTTGATGCTGACCAAGGGCTGCAGGAAGCCCCAGGAGGCCCGCGGCGCCGGGAAGGCCGCGCCGGAGGCCGCCGGCTCCTTCTTGAAAGTCATGTCCGGGGCCGGCGGCGGGGGCGGCTCGGCCGGGGCCGCGGGGGGGGCGAGCACGCACTGCGGGGGAGGGGCGGCCGGGCCGGCCGGCCGGGCGAAGCTGGCGACCGGGGGCAGCCGGTGGTTGAACATGACCAGGCTCTGCGGGAAGCTGGGCTCCATCTCTGCCCGCCTGCCGGAGCCTCCGCTCAGGAACCCGCCGCCGACTCGCATGCCCCGGAGAAGGCCTGGCTGCGGAGGGAGAGGGGGACGGAGAGGCGGTGGGGCCGGGCCGCGGGACCCCAAGCCCCGCCGCCGCCCGCACTGCGGCCTGCGGCGCGCGCGCACCGCCTGCCCCACTCCCGGCCCGCCCGACCCGCGCCGCCCCCGCCCGCACTTACGGTCTCGCCGCCGCGCCGCCGCCGCCGCCGCCGCCGCCTCCGGTTAATAAAAATAACGCCGTCCTCTCCACAATGGAATTAAAAGCCTCCCCCGCACTGCGCAGGCGCGGCGCGGGGTCTGCCGGGAGTGGCCGGCCCGGCAGAGGGGAGCGCAACGCGGACAGCGCGCAGGCGCCGCCGCTTCCGCCCGGCCCGCCTGTCAATCACGGCAGCGGTTGGGCGCTGGGGCTGCCCGGAGATGGAGGGGCGGGGCCTAGGGGGACCCTCCAAGAAGATGCCTCCGTGGCAGACAGACCTGATTGGTGGGTGGCGGTGAAGGACAGGACGTGGGGAGGGCCTGTGAAGGCGGCGCTCTGGAGGAGGACCCCCGGGGGCGGGAGGTCCGGCGGGCGGGGCTCGGGGCAGCCTGTGGGTGGGGGGTGGAAACTGAGGCCTGCGCGCCTGCCGCGCTCCATTTTACAGTTTGCAGTCCAGGTATCCAATCAAAGTCCAGACCCACCAGGGCTCCCCCCGGGGCGCTGCTGACGCCACCTAGAAGCCTTCAACCCCAGACACCCGGCATTTATTCAGTCACGTGGCTGGTGTTCTAGTGTGGGGACCCTTTCCAATGGGCGCACATCCTTTGCCTTTGCAGGAAAAGCCTACTTGGAAACCGCAATAGAGGTACCGTTGCAAAAAAAAAAAAAAAAAAAGTTGTCTTTCTGCCAACCTACCTGAAGGCTACAGGAAAAGGAACCGGCGTGAGCCAGGTGCAGCAGCCATGTGAAACACGCCCACGTGCGGATTCATCCTCGGTTTAAATCCCACACCTGCTCTGTCGGCCTGGGGAGTGTGTCTGCCGGGTTACCCGGCCGCCTGGCCTGTGTGTGACTCGTGAACACTGGCCCCTGGGCCCTCCCTGAAGGTCTCTGCGGGGATCCACTCTGTCCTTCCCCGGATTAGACTTCTGAGAAGCGGGACCAGGAGATGGGACCAGGAGATGCAGAATAGGGACCGTGACAAAGTAGCGTCTTAAAATCAAAGCTAGATCATCAAAATCAGACATCACCCCCTAAGGGTCACAAAGCGCTCACTCTCACACCAAGCCTGCAGAAGTCTAATCCAGCAACTTTCCTCATAGAGTGTAAGTCCCTGAAATTTTTTTCATAAAAGAGAACGATAACAATAATTTATTGACATAGCATATTCTCTTCATGACACGACCAGTGCGTTTTTATCACAGTATTTGTAGCTAAATCACTTCTCATAATTCAGTAATAAATGACTTCCCTGAGAAATTTCACCACCGGAACCATCAAGATTATTAACGGATCCTCATGGGCCTCTCTCTGAGCCTACTCAAAAACTTAAAAGACAGTAGTTAATGAGCATTGTGAGATAAGAAATATTAGCATTTTTCTAGCTCCATGCAGCTGCACACAAGCATTCTGCCCCTGGCACCATGCGGCTTGAATACTGTCGGGTGTAGTTAAGTGTTAAAAGAAAGACTGGGAACTCAGGAACTCCAGGCAGCGGTAAAATATGAGTCAGTGCCTTTGAGAAATGAGGCTGTGCCCCCATCGCAGGCGTCAGTGTTTAATGGTGAGCCGGGTGCGGAGAAGCTGGTCCAAGCGTGAAGGGCAGTCGGACACTCCTATGAAGCGCCAACTTTGTTCCTCAGTTATCAAGATAAGAAACCTGTCACTTCCCTCATTCACTCTGTCAGCCTTGAGGCACTCCGAGCAGACTTACCTCCGTGTCGCACACCCCATATATCAGGAAGATGGAGAGACCCTGTAAAAGAAAATGCAGGGGGAGAGCTGTTAACGCTAATCATTTCCGCAGCAGAAACACCTGAAATAAACTTTCCTGGGAACAGACAAAAGAAGACACACTTCATCAAGGTCAATTTTCTTTCCTATTTTTCAGCATTAGCAGCTGTACCTTGAGCATCTGTAAGATAACACACCCGTTTACAGCGCCGGTGCTGTTCCATTGCTTAGAAAGAGAAACCAAAATGCCACGCCGGGTGCATAGAATCATCAGGATTCCGGTCTCTGGAAGATAAGCTGGATATGGAAAAAAAATTAAACTCAGAAAATGTGATCAAAGTAATCACAGAGATAGCTGTAATGTTTGAGCCCACGGCAGTTAGGATACATTTGTAACTGTCTCCAATGGGGTTCGCATTTTTTAAGATTAAAAGTACAAAACAGCTAAAAGGATAAACTTAGGGTAATAAGTATGAATAGTTTTAAAGTACCAGTTCAGGCCCTGGCTGGTGTAGCTCAGTGGATTGAGTACGGGCCTGCGAACCAGAGTATCACGGTTCGATTCCCAGTCAGGGCACATGCCTGGGTTGCAGGCCGGTTCCCTGCAGGCCGGTTCCCGGCAGGGGATACATGAAAGGCAACCATACATTGATATTTCTCTCCCTCTCTCCTTCCCTTCCCCTCTAAAGATAAATAAAATTTTTTTTTAAAAAAATTGAAAAAAAAAAAGTACCAGTTCAGGCTAATATAAAATTTCACGTGATCGGCTGTTGTAAAACTACATTTTCACTGAATCCTACATATAATAAAAGTTCTCCAAATCTGCTACTTATTAGTTCTTAGCTTTAGAAACTAATTAACTATAAAATGTAAATTAAATCTCACTGTTAAATCTAAAATCTTATTTTTTAAAGTAAATAAAACTGATGTATTTGAAACTTATTAGAGATAATAGGGAACAAGAAATTTTCTATGCGGTTTTGCCTTACAGAGGAAGTGAAATCTACATTGTGCTGTTCTTGTCAGGTACTAATAAGCCAAATATGAAATAGGGGTCTGGGCTAAGATTTGAAAACGGTTCAAGTGGGTAAGTTATATGATACTTTCAAAAGGAACGTATTACAGGAATATTTTAACCTGTTTTACTTCTGAATTCTTGCATCTTACACAGAGAATGGAGATCTCTGTGTAAGGAATAGGAGATCAAATAAAACAAGCCAGTTTTGTTCTTGTTAGTTTCTTTTAATAGACTTTATTTTTTAAGAACAATCTCAGATTTACAGAAAAATGGAGAGGGTAGGGCCAAGAGTCTGTATGTGTCCCACATCCAGTTTCCCGTGTGATCAATATTTCATGTTAACAAGACACTGCACACAGGTTACAATCACTCTCACTAGCTTTCAATGCTACTGTGTCATTTCCTTCATTAAATTACTGAGTATAGTTCAGAAAATAATACAATTGTACTACATACATGTTTTTGTGTCGATAAGAAAGATGAATGAAGAGCTTTCAAACAATAAAAAAAATTTCACTGGGGTCGTCCCCTTTTGAAAAACATTAGTGCAGCCAGAGCCCTGTTGCCGTGGACACGTGTACCCCACAGGTTGGCACCGAGACCCCCCGCACCGGACAGGCAGCCTTCAGATCTATAAGGTCAGAGGATTCAGGCCCTGTAGACGGCCTCACTTCACAGGCTACTTGTTTGCCCCTACTCTAGTTAATTCAAGAAAAATATATTTCTTCTTTGGTTTACGAAAAAAGTATCAGATGATGGACAATCCTCCTTCCCTTAGTCATGCTTGGCCTTGATTTTGTACTGTCTTATACAGATATCAGATCAGGCTGCGTCACTCCAGTTTTAATCCCGTTTATAACCCAGGAGGATTCTGTTTTGTACTGTAGGTGACTTGCTACCGTGCAAAGCGATTTGCTGTGCACTGAACCTTGCCCACTGTGGCTCGTACACTCAGCTGTGTGAACCGTATGTGACGGTTGGAAAATCAGAGAGCCATTCTGTCAGGTGGGTAATCGCGTCTGTAACTCATCTGCTCAGTAGATTCCATTTTCCCCAGAAGAAAGGAGGGTTTTTAACAAGTCCCATTCCCCCGGGTCTCGGTGAAGTGAGGAAGAGTGTGGGCCATGTCCCGGTGTCTTCATTCTGCATTCCACGCCGCTCATACCACGTTTCACATTTCAGCATGGAGCTCCTCACACAATGGAAGAACGATCAAGAGAAATCTCCCTTTTGAAAGAAGGGCTGAGACGGGAAAAGGGCTTTAAATAAAGGCAGCTTCCATCTGAAAAGGGGTTTTTTTCCCCTCTTTTTTTTTCTTCAACAGACACACCCTTGGGCACAGAATTGACAAGGCCCAGAGTGTCGACATTGAGGACCCTGGTCTGCGACTAGGAGACCACCCCAGGAACCTCGGCCTTCCGTTCTCCCCCTCGTCCACCTGATGCCCCCACAAACAAATGAAAGGTAAACCATGAACAATAAGTAAAATCACTGTGCATTTCACCCATGGCAACTTTTGTCCCCAGATTTTACAGGCTGCTGGGATCGTGTGGATTACACTCTCCTGAACTTTATACACCCCTCGCTACTGGATAAACACCCCATGTTCCCTATTTTCCAAAGGGAAGAATCAAAACAACAAACATAAAGGTTTTAGCTCATCGTAACCAGGAGCCACTCGGCCACTGCTACAGAGGGGCTGCCTCTGAGAGCAGCCGGAGTCAACCAACTGCCAAATTTCAACTGGCACTGAGATTTCTGGAACTCTGCACCCCAGCATTCTCTCCAACCAACGAGGGACCTCTGGCGGTGTGCCCCACTTCCATCCACCAGGCACGACCCCGCAGGGGCGCCGGCAGTCTCTGCTGGGTCACCCACAGGTCTATGCATCTGTGGCACAGAGGGCGCCTCCTAGAGAGGTTCCGGTTTTTGATGTTTCAGTCACAGCAAAGACACCAGCCATTCGGCAGGAAGCCTCCCTGGGTAGCGGGGTTGCTGTGATGCTGTGGTGTGCGTGCCACATGGGCAGCCACCAGGACCAGGGAGGGGACATGGGGGCATGGTGTCTGATACCGCACAGGAGTCAAAAATAGCCATGTAAGGGCCCTGGCCGGGCGGCTCAGTTGGTGACGGTGCCTTCCCACCGGGCGCAGGTTCGGTCCCTAGTCAGGGCACGTACCTGAAGTAACCAACCAATGAAGGCGTCAATAGGTGGGACGATGAATCCACGTTTCTCTCTCTCTCCCTTCCTCTCGCTCTAAACTCGATAGATAACAATGTTTTTTAAAAGCCATCCTCTGTAGGACCTCCGGTTGTTTGTATTTTTAATGGAAACTTAAGGAGACGAGGGAGGGAAAATCACA